CCTTTACATCACCTCACAACTTCCCTGTATTGAACCTCATCTGTCTCCTATTTGCCTACTCCATCAACTTGGCAATGTCTTTCTCACACTATCCTCCACATGTTAAAAGTTCTTCCAAGTTTAGTGTCATCTGCAAACTTTGAAATTGTCCCCTGCACACCAAGGTCCACATCACATTAATAAATATCAGGAAAAGCAAGGGTCCCAATACTGACTCCTGGAAACTCCACTACAAACTTCCTCCAACCTGAAAAATATCTATTGAGCATTAATCTCAGTTTCCTATCGCTCAGCCAGGCTTGTATCCACGCTGTTACTGTCCCTTTTATGCCATGATGTTTAACATGCCTCATCTCTCTCTTACTCACTCACTCACTCCAGTCGCTGAATGGGTGGACATGATCCAGACCTGGTAATCTCCAAATTTGGTTGCATCCTCAGAAAGCAGGTTGGGAAAGCAGAGTTGACCTCAGAATCTGCAGGCCACACTGGAAAAAATCAGCAGGATTCCTGTTCTCAATCTCAGAGTTACTCATTCAATGAGTATTAAGTGAGCAGGAGTGGCCTGAGCTGGGAGAGAATGAGGACCCAATCAGCAATGTGATTTGATTTGATTTATTCTCAAATGTACCTAAGTACAGTGAAAGGTTTTGTTTTGCGTGCAGTACAGGCAAATCAAACCGTACAAAGTGTGTTAGAGTAATCAAACAGAGTGAAGAATACAATGATATGGCTGCAGAGAAGGTGCACAGAGACCGAGATCAAAACTAAATTCAAAATTTAAGAGGTCCATTCAGAAGTTTAATAACAGCGGAGAAGGAGCTGTTCTTGATTCTATTCCTACATGTATACGTTACGATTTGTAGACTGGATCAGGCAGACTGCAAACAAGAATTATATGAGGCAGCAAATGGGAAAATAAACAGACTAGTTCAATTTATATACAAACAAAAAATATGATGTTGATAACAAGAATATTATGAAACAAAAAAGTGGTGCTAGCATCATCGGTCATATGTCAGTTACCTGGGCACTGTGCACTAATGCATTGGAAGGGCCCCAGGTTCTCTAAGGTGATTCCAATTCCATCAAGCTCACACACTCAGTGAGGCTATAAGAGATGTCTCGTGAAGCCAGCGGATTCAACAGTTAGGGCAAACAGAGACCTCATAACCTGCTCATAAACTACAGGTTCCACGAACAATGTCTCACAGACCAGAACCGTTTATAGAGCGGAAAGGTTGCATGCAACATGAAGGATACAGACCAGAGTAGATTTCAAAACTGCACCGAGCACACTTTGACTTAACCACTTCTGAAAGTAAAGAACCTTGAATTTGGGGGGCGTCTATTTTCCTTCTGGAGTGACATTGTAATGTTAAATGGCACACTCATGGCAGGCTGAAATGGTCTCACAAGGCAGTTCTGAGGAAGGGTCACCGGACCTGAAACGTTAACTCTGTTTTCTCCTCCACAGATGCTGCCAGACCTGCTGAGCTTTTCCAGCAACTTTGTTTTTGTCACTGGGCAGTACGCTTATTCTATATTATAGTCTGTCACATTAGAGCCCACACACAAGGGAGAAGCTTCTAGAAGAATTCAAGGCTCATACATTTCGAATGTGCCAAAAATATCCTTTTCCATATACTAGTGCTGGTCACTCCCAAAAAAGGTCTGAGTCTGATGTTGTCCAAAATCTAACAATACATTTGCGTAAACCAGGGTGTAACAATAAGCCTCCCTTGTGATCTGAACTTTGCATTGTGTTTTTCACAAGTGTACTTCTCCAGTTTTTCTAAAGGAAGACAGGCTTGGTAACATGAGGCCAGATGACTCATTTTACAAGCGAATAGATCAAACACTTACTTAGCTGAATCAAATATTGCCCTGGAGATTGGGATAAACCAAACCATGTGCTCAATCCTTTACAGGGGTTGATTTGCTTAGAGTCGTAGAGATGTACAGCGCAGAAATAGACCCTTCGGTCCAACTCATCTGTGCCGACTACTAGCTTCTTGAATTACATTTCTTTCAGACTGCTTCAAACTGCAAAACTAATGACTCTCACTTTTTTGAGCTTTCACTTCCAGAATGCCAGCCTAAGGTCTTCTCCTTGCAGTCTTTTTATTGAAACCTGGATTTTCCGATATTGTTCTGACCTACTTCTGACCAGCCAGGATTCATGCATGGATGATCAACTCCATGAGGACATCAAGGCTTAGTGAAAGTGCAGTGGAGATTCACCAGAATATTAACATGGGTGAAGGATTTCAGTCATGTGAGAGGGCATGAGCTTAGCTGCGATCATTCTCAGAGCAGAGACAGTTAGAGGAAGGTTTAATTGACATGTTCAAAATTATGAAGACTTTTGATGAAGCAGATTTGCTGAAGATTTACACTGGCAAAAATGATCATAATCAGAGGACGTGGACTGAAAATAACCATCAACAGAACCACATCGAAGATGAGGTGGTTTTTCTTCTGCAGCAAGTTATAATGTTGCTGAAAGGATGGCAGAGATTCAACAGTAACTTTCACAAAGGAACTGGATTATTTCCTCAAAAAAATCTTGCCGGGACTATGGAGAAACAGCAAGAGAGAGTAGCACCAAATGGAAAACTCTTTCAAAGTGTTGGTACAGGCATAATGGGCTGAGTGGTCTACTTTTGTGCTCATTGATCCATGACCTATTTCCCATTTGGGATGTAAGTTGCAAAAGTCCACATTCTACCATTCGCACAATGAATATGGTTCATGCTGATTGTTAGCCCCAGGCTAAGGCATCGACCCTTCACTGTTCCATGTATTCTACAGGCCTGTTTGCCTGAATTCAATATGGACATTCACAACCTCTAACTGTCACTTTGTTTCTCAATCAATCAAGAATTCACTTTTAAAGACAACATCCAAACGTAACACATTCATGAAATCCATTCTATGAAAAAAGGAACAATCAAATAAGAACAAATTGTGACAGCAAGAAAACCATTAACAGGATTTCTTGGAATAAACCTAAATTAGTCCAATTTACTGTGTCATGTGTCATACATCATTCTGCTCAGATTAGGTGGCTCAAATTGAAACTTCATGTGATCTTTTGCCAACGTGACAAATATCATTAACGTTATCTTCAACATCTTTGAAATTTAACAATGACTTCATTGGAATTGCATATCCAATTCTGCACAGAGAGTAAATTGTCAATATTGGTTAATGAACAATCACAACGATGACTGTCCAGAAAGTTAGTAAAGCCTTTATTTCCTGCACTTGCAGTCATCACAGTTAAACATCAGCAATGTTTCTAGGAAGATTAAGACTGACAGAACTAGAATCTTCAAAATATGTATTTGCCAGCCATGCCTTGTGGTCAGCCTACACCAGCTAGGGTGGTCATCTGACTAAGGTAGGTGGCACAGCTATTGTAGAACCCACTGATTTCATTCCAATAATGACTGCCCTCTATCACTGCACTGCACTATTTAGCTGGCAAAGGGTATTCCAGTAGAGCTATCATTGTAGCTGTTGAACAAATGCTTGTCAATGTCATGTGACCTTTGTGGTGAAATAACGCACTGAGATATTACTATGTAACTATGAGTGAGGTCTTATAGTTCTATAATGAGAGGTTCTCCCCAGCCTCACTGTCAGCATATTATCTGATGTGCTCATGTTCGATGGAGCAATTTGAAATGCATTGGGTAGACTCACGGCACTAATCCTTATTTGTATTTTCCAAGATACTGACACCAAGGTGGGAAGAATATCCAACATAGAAACATAGAAGATACGAGAAGGAGGAGGCCATTTGGCCCTTTGAGCCTCCTCTACTATTCTTCATGATCATGGCTGTTCGTCCAACACGATGGCCTAATCTTACTTCCTTCCCATAACCTTTGAGCCCATTCACCCCAAGTGCTATATCGAGTCGCTTCTTGAATACATGCAATATTTTGTCATCAACTACTTCCTGTGGTAATGAATTCCACAGGCTCACCACTCATTGGGTGAAGAAATGTCTCCTCATCTCCGTCCTCAGTGATCTACCCCGAATCCTCATACTATGACACCTGGTTCTGGACACACCCACCATCAAGAACATCCTTCCTGCATCTACCCTGTCCAATCCTGTTAGAATTTTGTAAGCCTCTATGAGAACCCCCCTCATTTGTCTGAAGTCTAGCGAAAACAATCCCAAACTAGTCAATCTCTCCTCATACGTCAGTCCCACCATCCCCCAGAGCAGCCTGGTAAACCTTTGCTGCACTTCCTGGAGAGCAAGAGCATCCTTTTTCCTCAGAAAAGGAGACCAAAACTGCACACGATACTCCAGATGTGGTCTCACCAAGGCCCTGTACAACTGCAACAACACATTCCTGCTCCTGTACTCATAACCTCTTGTAATGAAGGCCAACATACCATTTGCCTTCCTTACCGCCTGCTACACCTGCATGCTTACCTTCAGCGACTGGTACACAAAGACACCTAGATCCTGCTGCACACTGCCCTCTCCCAATTTACAACCACAAAGTCTTCAGCAGAAAATGGTTCAATCTTCATAAATAATAAAGATTTCTTACTTAGTCCTTAATAGCTATTTGAATTACATCTGAGATACAAGATAATCTCTTGTAAAACTGTTAGGCTCAATGTAAAAGCAAGTACACATCACTGCTACTGAAGTAATCTCTCATACTAACTTGACAACAACACAGGAACTGGTTAGCTTCTCCCAAGAACAGTCTTTAATAAATATTTTCGAAACAACCTGCTTTGGAGATGTTGTTACACAACTTTGGAGCAGGTGAGACGTGAACTTGGATCTCCTGGCTCAGAGGAAGGGACACTATCACCGCACCACAACAGCCTCCCAACATCCTTTACAATCCTGGTGGGAGAAGTTTTCCTTATATTGTCATGTAACCCTTCCAGGTACGAACTGCCTTATGCAATAATATGGTTCACATAGATGTGGGAATGATAAGATTGGTTTTACTTACTCTCTGTCAATCACTAGGCAGGTCACTGTTTCAGCTGCGATCACATTGGCTGTCCTTACATCCTCTCTGTAAAAGGAAACAGGGGCAGAGTGTAAGTTCAGGCTGCACACATCACTCACACTTGTAAACAGTACGGGAAATGCAGGGTAACTTTAAATTTCAGCATTTGGCAAGGAACCTGGTGGACATCAGATTTGTCACATGTTACATAACTCCGTTACACAGAAAGAATATCAAGCAGCATGTTTTCAGTTTTAACTAGAGGTACAACAGCACCAGAATGTCAGACCCACACCTGCTGAAAAGCTCTGAATGGAAAGCACCACATTGACATGAAGTTTTGGTTCAATTTTAGGTAGGATTTGATTTATGGCATTTTCTGCTCTCTGTTGGTAAAAGGAAATAAATATAGACAGACAACATCTGTGAAGTGTCAATGGAAGGTTACAGCGATTTTTCTCTTTCCACGAAGTCAGGGTCATGTGAGCCATGCCCGCCGAGTGGAAACCAGACAGGTGAGCTGTTAAAATTGGCCTCAGAGCTCTCTGCCACTGTTGACCCATTTTAACTTACTTTTCTGAGCAGGTGATAGAGCGACACAACAAAAACTGACAGGGTCTGGCTTAGATATTCTGAACAGGCTGGAATGATGCCACTTGGCCGAGTTTGTTATTTTCTCCAGCGGCCTGAGTGAGGAAAACAGTTCAGGATCTTACAGTATGCCGATCTGCCTGGAAGAGCAGTGAGGACTGGAAGAGGCACAGCGTAAGGTATCATCAACTTTTTAATGTTTCTGCTGTGTGCAAGAGGAAAAGGACGAGGGATGTACCCACAATCTCAAAGTCCACTCAACCCCCTTCCTATAGCTACTTTTTAAATTTAAAAATATACTTTATTCATAAAAATATCTTTATCTACATACATTGTCACTCAAGCAGTTTGGTTCTGGATAGTCTGACCATACTGGGTCTCAGTGACTGCTACCATTCGCTGAGCCTCCTGCTACCTGATATTTTGTTCCTAACTACCAGTCATCAGCCACTTCCCACTTGTGCTGGGTGGGAGATTGGAAGGAACTTTCACAAATTTAACATGGGGTTAAAGTTGTCCTAGTAACAGAATCATTTTAGCTGTAAATTTATGTTTTCTATATCACGCTTTATGATTATACTCAACGTGATTAGACCAAAAGATTGTCAACTCTGATTGGGTGCCTTCCTGACCTCATGGCTCCAAATTCCCAGCCCTCTCACTTTCACTACTGACCTTCCAATGTCCAGCTTCGTATTTTGCCACATTCCTTCAGCATCTAGAAGAGTAGCAGGGCAGGAAACTGGGTGCAGAAGTGCCCATCTCTTGACTATGCTATGAGTATCCTGAAGTTCCAAAATGGCATCTGTGGCAAACTGGTGGAGTGAGTCATGTTAGGCTCACGTGAAGGTAAGGCTTTATATTTGCACAGCAAATATCTACAAGAATACATGGAACTAGCAAATCATAAGATCAATCATGTGCAATGCTGATATGAGTCTTTCCAGAACTCAACGCTCCAGCTTTCATCTTTTCCTAACCTTGCATGTGTTCAGAGGTTAAAAGAACCCTCTGCCAGCATGAGTTAAAGAACTATTAAAGACTGACAAGTGGATTGCCAACTGATTCTCCCTGGCCATTTCAACATCTTACATGTAGTTAGTGATTTGTCTAATTTATTCACTTTGAAATTTGTGTCATATATAGACAGGGTGGTTAAAAAGGTGTTTGGCATGCTTGTCTTCATTGCTCAGTCCTTTGAGTCTAGGAATTGAGAAGTCATGTTGAGGTTGTACAGGACATTGGTGAGGCTTCTTCTAGAATACTGTGCCCAGTTCTGGTCGCCCAATTATAGGAAGAATATTATTAAGCTGGAGATGGTTCAGAAGATATTCACCAGGATGTTGCCGGGTATGGAAGGTTTGAGTTATAAAGAAAGGCTGGATAGGCTGGGACTTTTTTCACTGGAGCATCGGAGGTTGAGAGGTGACCTTATGGAAGTTTATAAAATAATGAGGGGTATAGACAGAGTTAATGGCAGTTGCCTTTACCTTGGGTTGGGGATTTTAAGATTACGGAGCACATTTTTGAGGTGAGAGGAGAGAGATTTAAAAAAGACATGAGGGGCAAATTTTTTTAGGCAGATGGTGGTTTGCCTGTGGAATGAACTTCCTGAGGAAGTGGTGGATACGGGTACAGTTGCAACGTTTTAAAGACATTTGGATAAGTACATGAATAGGAAAGGTTTGGAGGGATATGGGCCAGAAGCAGACAGGTGGGACTGGTTTAGTTTGGGATTATGTTCAGCAATGGACTGGTTGGACTGAAGGGTCTGTTTCTGTGCTGTACGACTCTATATTGCAAATGTCTGCAGGGACCAGTGTAGCAGATCGGGAGTCTGCGGATGATGGTGCAGGATGCCCTCAAATAGCTGTGGCACCAGAAGGCCAGAGTTTGGATTATTTCAACTTGGCACAGATGGCAGCAGACTGGGCTGGTTGGTTGATACCTAATAGGAAGTGTGCGAATGGAATGGAACCATGGGAGGATGAATGCTCTCCTCCTAAGGGAAGACAGCGAGTTTGTTCCATGGAACCACTGTCACTATCCTCGGATGGTGCCTAATCAATCCGAGTTATCTTCAGGAGCACCAATTATTGGAATGCTGTCAGAGCCTGCAGAAGCCTGTATTCCACAGCAGCCTCAATTTCACCTTGTGCTTCCATTGCAGCACTCCAACGGATACCTTCTCCTCAGGCTGAACTGAGATTTCAAGTTGCACAGTCAGGTTGGCCAGCCTTCTCGCAGAGTTGGATGGCATTTCCCAAGCTGGAAATTTGGGCTCCTGCACAAACCCTGTCCAAGGTGGTTCCAGACTCCTCCAAGATCCTTAATATTGGCCTTTGGTTTTCGGACAGCTTTTCCAAAGCATCAAGCATTTTAGTCTGTTGACCCATCAGCCTTTTTCTGTAGGCTGCATTAATGGAGTGTTGATCTAAGTTCTTTGCTCCAGAATTCATGCCGACTTCCAGAGCTTCTGCTAACCTTGCCCCTGCTCTGACCACAGGACACCCATATACAAAGTCTTGCCAGATGTAGGTCCCGCTTCCAAGCTATTCTCTAATGTCCATGCAGTGTCAGTATTTGAACTGATAGCTACAAATGTAAATGCCAGCGTTTCTCAACAATCCCTTCTAACTCTCTCTTTTCCACTTTTGCCTGGTGAGGTGGCATTTCTTGGGTATCTGAAAGCAAGAGGCCATGAGGGGACTCGGTGGATGGGGAGAAAACAAGGGGCACATATTTATAGTATTTGCAACCTGTAAATCAACAGAAACTACACAATAAGGGAGAAGTAAGATGTGAGAACAGGATGAGGTCGACTTGAAGATTTTCAGACCCATTACTGGCCACAAACTTAGACACAGCTGTTGCAGTGCCAGTCCAACTACCAAACCATAAAGAGTCGTAAACCTGCTAATTTCTTGTGTTAATTTGCTTGACACAATATTGCCTGTCATATTGGAAAGGTAAACAACACAGGTTCAATTGGCTTGAAAATTGCAAACAGGTTAACTTAAGAGATAAGTTGATAATACATCCTTTGTCTTACGTGCCACTGCTTCAAGTCCTCACGGCTCCTGGTCCTGTGGTGTCATCCTGGTTTTTGGCTCATTGACATCCTCAACTCTCAAAGCAGCAACACAACACTACCTAATTCCTCTGTGTTTAATCACTTTCTTAAAGAACATCCTTCTAAGTTGGGGAAATAAAGCTTAGTCCTCTGGGTGAACGTTTTCACAAATGCTTGAAGAACCATCATCTCCTTTAGCTCCATGACTATGTAACTCTGAATTTAGTGCAGGCTGCACAAGAAATGTCATACTTCCAAGATGGTTAAAAATAATATTCTATAAACAGTTGCCCAAACACCTAACAATAATGGAGATCAGATTGAAATGGATCATGGTTGTTGATCAAAGAAATGGCAATTGCAGAGATAATAACAAAAAGCTCCTTGAACCAACTCAAAAGAACTGAAATTGCATTACTAGTAAGTCATTTTGATGTTGATGGTGTCCCTTTAAAAACACAGCTGTCCACATGCCTTCAATGCTTTTTGTTATGGGGTGAGGGTGGGAGGAGCTGAGTGAACTTGTCCCTAAAGCAGAGATACCCTTTCATTTTCATTAAAGTCTGCAAATTTCAGATTTTGTTGCCATTAAGAAACGATTTATAAACAACGTCTTTCTCACAGTTAACCACAATTTGCAGTCAGTATCTTTTGTTAGATACAACGATAAACAGAATACTTACAACATGCAATAATAAACACAGATCCCTTGTTAAAATGATGCAATAATCCAGGAAATTGTTAAAGCTTTAACAATATAAATACATGAACAAATCCTAAATTCATCTGCTGTTACAGTTCCAACACTCTTTAATGATTTAACATTCAAGTCTTGTTGATGTTAGATAGTTGTATAATCAAATGAACTTCACTGAGAGCTAAATATTACGGTTGACATCTCAGATGAACTTAAATCAGGTTTAGAATCTTCTCAATAATATTTAATCTCTTACATTATATGGTTTGTGGTTTCTGGGTTGATTTGTTAACACATTTTAATTCAATAGTTTCTCATTCCCTTTAGTTAGCAACTGTACTTACATTGTGAAAAACCTAAAGTAAATTTAAAACTCAGTAATATTTTCCTAAGAAGAAATCAACAGGATACAGTTCAGCCAAACAGATGCATTTTAAGGAAAATAAATTCACTAACTCGGATATCTCCCCATCTGTTTCTTCATCAGTGTATTCTGAAGAACTGTTCTCGAACTCTGTTTCAGTATCTGAATTGCTCATATTTCTCTGAAAATCGTTTCCTTCCACTAGGCTCCACATCAAACTGTGACAGCTTTTAAACAGCCAGCTGCAGTATCCTGTTCATTGGAAGGAGTCTGGCCTGGGTCCAGTGCACCTCCAGGCTCAACAAGCAACAGGACACCAGGAGTTACAACTGCTGAGGGAG